AGCCATGGTTAGGGATTGTCTCCGCCGAATAAAAGGAAATTTCGTTCGGAAATTTTGAATCGCAATTATTTCGAGGATACGTAATTATTTTTTCTCGAAAGATATCGAATAATTCTTATTATTCAATCTCGACGAAATGTGAAAAATGTAAATTTAATTTCCACGCGATTAAAACCTTCTTTCCAAATTCAACTCGTGACTAAACCGTCGGATTATCAGCAGTTAGCAATTTTGTTATAATCGACACGGCCTTGATCTAATTGCTTAATCGATTCCTCTTCAAAATTGTCTCCGCTTCGCCTCTCACGATCCGGAGAATTCGTGTCGTCGAACGCGAAAACGTGTTCACTCGTTAACACTTTCCTTCTCGCCTAATTCTCCAAGGATCGTCGATCGACAGATAATTCTTACGTACAAAATGGAACCACAAATCATGGCGAACGAGAAGAAGTTTTAAAATAAAATGTCATTTCAATCGTTAGAAACGCGTAGAACGAGTTGAAATAAATAGTTTAAAGTTTTAAAGACGAGACGATATTGCTGCCTCTCAAAATTCCAGAGGGAGTAAAAGTATTTTATGAGGATAATTAACGAAATAGAGGATAGAATATTCTTCGTTGCTTCATTTGCCTCGTGAAACTATAAGGATTTTTTATGTAACAATTTTTCATTTACGTAATTAATTAAATTTCCATTCATCCTATTATTTTTCTTCTGCTGACAATATATCGTCTAACAAGATAAATCTTTATCTTTCAAATTAACAAAGTAGATATTTCTCAAGTTACGCAAGATTCATCAGTTTTTTCGCTAATTGTTTCCCAAGTTCAAAGACGTCAATCTTGAGCCAATATTTTCGCTCGAGGCATGCGATAATCAAATTAAGATATATAAAACGCGCTCTTAACGAAGTTTGTTTGCGTCAATTCAAAAAAAAAAAAAGAACAGACGCATTCTTTTTTTTTATCGCGTTAAAATAAATTTCAAATTTTAACGAAGTTTAATCTCGTAATCGAATCATTTCGATAACGAACAAATATTGTACATCTCCACAGTTTTATCCAAGTTCGATGCTCAACAATTGGGGATCGTTCGATTTAATTTTGAACAAAGTATGCTCGCAATTACAATCACAGGATCCATTATTAACGCTGTTTCTGCAAATGTACGCGATTATTAAAGATTTATCGTCGTTTGTAGCAACCTACATCAAATTTTCCCGAATAACATTGAATAAAATTTGATTATCGATAACATTCGGTTGTTATCGGTGAAATATAATTCGGGAGAAATTGAAACAAGTTCAAGTTGCGTCGTGAAAAACAGGGATCTTTGTTAAAATCATTTTGCGACCAAATTACTCGTTTACACATCCGCGATGGTTTATTGAATAAATTTGGAAAAGTTACTCGATGATTTCAGGTTTAGATGATCGAACACGGATCGCCTACACGAGGAATCTTTATAAAATATTTTCAAAGAGTTTTTCCTTTTCTTTTCTTTTCTTTTTTTCTCACGAATCACAGCACAAGAGCGTGTGTTTTGCGTTCACTTCGGTCCACATTTCAGAGTTTAAGGGTAGCCGACGTGGTATCGATCTGGCACGCAGTGCTGTTTTAAGGCAGCGGTTCTCAACCCCTACCTTCCAAAAGGTATCCTAATTTCAAGAGCTTTGATTCGAGTGGCTTCCTTCATTGTTCCTGTCCATGCTTGGATAACTCGGGCCGTATATATCGTTTATCTTCCCTTTCGCTGTGGATACAACGACACGAAATACAGATATTTTTGACTCACAACGTTACTATAACAACTTGTGACGTTATTATATTTTCTAACATTCTACGAATGGAGAACGAATTTGCATTGTCATTCTCGTATTTACTCGCGAAGATTACATATCGCGATACGTCTCTGCCCAGAATTATCGATCGATCGATTTTTATCTACTCGCCTACTATTATCAATCGAATATATATTTTTTACGTAATATTAGCAACAGCAGATAACTTATCACGAATATTTCCAAATATTAAAAATTCATTTCTGAACAATATTTTTCTTTTATCCACACTTGGCGATCTATTTATAATTAGTATATAATATTAATATACACATGTAAAGTAAATTTATAACTCGATCCATCGACAAATATTTGATAACAAATAATTTAAGGAACAAGATCAGACTTACGTAGAATGTGACCAACGAAACGAACGAAATTCTAACCACGTTTCTAATTCGCCCCTCCCTCCCCCCGCCCCCTATCGTGTCGATGGAAATTCCGTTTTAATTTCCGCCAAGGTGCAAGCTCGAAACGGGTTTTATGCACAATGCACTTTAATATCGCCCATGCCGTGTTTCTGTTGCCGGGTAATCGAGTGAAGAAACCGGCGCGAAGGCGAAATTACCCCCGAAGGAGAGTATATAAAAAAGAGGAGTGGTGCACGCGCCAAATTGGAAAATGCTCGATTCCTGCTTTCCGAGTATATCTCTATGACACATCTACACCGCGGCTCGACTCTCTCGCAAGTAAAATGTCGCGATCCTTTTTTTTTAAATCTAATCGAATTGTCCCCGCGACAAACGAACGTCGACACAGATCGATCGAAGATAGCGATATGTGTCCATTAACCCTCCCTTAACCATATTTCTCTCTTTCTCATCGAACACTGAGACAGGACAGCGAAGCCAATTCCAGAGACAGAGACGAAATAACTTTCGTAAATTTGCAGGAGTGGGGAGGAGTTAATCGTGGTTGGCCGTCGATATATTTGTGGTATAAACGTGGATAAAAAGCCTAGTGCTATAAGTGGGGGAGAAAATGAAATTCTTACCAACCGGGGCAAAGAAAGCAATCGCGGAGCGGAATCGTATTAACTCGGCGGGGATAGTTGGAAAGCGCTCGCGGGCGTAAGGCAGGCAGGAGGAGGAGGAGGAGGAGGAGGAGGCCGGTGTTTTCAGTTATTTCTAGGTTCTAGGCCGTACCAACTGCTGCTACGGGTTCGAGCGAGCCATTTATACGAATCAATACCGTGGATCATACGTGCCAGTTTTGCCGTGGCTCATTAACCGCGGCGTGCCAATTTTCACGTCCTCCAATTTCACGGTGTTAATTCAAATTCTTATTTCTTGCGTCCACCGATTTTCTCTCTTTCTCTTTTTTTTTTCTTCTTTCCTGTTTAAGTTGGCGCGAGGCGCAGATTGTTGCCAATCGTGATGATGTTGATTGTTTGTAAGTTGTTCGAAAACACCGATTCACAGTTTAACAAATTGAACACGAGTCGTACGAGTTTGATAAGTATCGTATTTTGTGAATTAGTGAAAATGTGCTTTAAGATTGGATGTTTTCGACACGATTGGATCACGGAAAATTTCCATTTGAACTTTGTCATTAGTTTCCGTAACGGGAAATAATTAAGGAGGAACAAGGTAATTCGCTTTGTTTCTTTGCGCTCGATCGTTGAAATAACGAAACGAGCTTCGTGGAAATTTCCTATCGACATTTGCACATCCATCGATTCCTTAACTCGTTCTAATTAATCGTTCACGCGTTTTTGCGAAGATAGAAGTTACTTCGAGTTTGAAGCTACGGGATACAAACAAATTGAAAATAATTTTAATTCGTGCGTGAATTTCTTATTATATAAAATTTATGTATATAAAATCGATCAACAAGGGATATAAATTGATCGTCGAGACATTGTTACAATAAAGACGCGATAAAAACATGCAAGAGACGGTTTGCAAAGGCAATTTTGCCTCGGTACTTACTCGGATTCGAGCGTGGAATTTAATTACCGATTGTTGAAAAATAATTAAATTCGATTCGAATGTAATCCGAGGAAACGAGATAAAAACGTTTCCTTTCGTGCATGAATATCTTTATAATCGCCAGAATATACACGTTCAAAATACACACGCACACACAAGTTGGAAAGTAGGTTTTAAGAGATAGATAGACTAAAATATAAGTGGAGTAGTTATTTATACGATCCGTTTTTCAGACTATTTAAAGCTATAAAGTATAATTTAGCCATGCGAATTTTACTGTTTGCCATTAATAATAAATCTGTAAAAGTAAAGAATAGCTACTCGTAGCTATAGATTTACTTATTAATGGAACGTGTATAAGGATGAATAAATAATGGCGTAACTGGAAAATTCGTCTCGATTAATGTCTAATTTTTAATATTTATTACGTTTCAAGTTACGTTTGCACGAAGTTTAACATTTCGAACGAAGGGACTAAGACCAAATGGAATGATAAATGTACAAACTGTACCGCGGAAGCGAGTAATTCGTCTAACGAATTCAATCAGAAGTACACACATCAGTTTCTAGAGTAATTGATTGCGAAGGGGCGTTGTCCAAACTTGGGTGAATAATCGTCCGTGGATTATGAATTTATTCGAGGTCGCTGCTTCCCTCTCCTTTCGATAAAATTGACAAATGTATAAAAAAAAAAGAATGCTTCGTTCGAACGAAGCTAAGGCGATCGATCGCAGATTAATCGAGATTGGAATATTTTGATGGGCCAATTTCACGACGATTTATTTGAAAATGGACACGCGACAATGGGGTCACTGGCATGCGGCGAATAAATTCTCGAGCCAGAGAACTTGACCCAAGGTCACGTATGGAATATATCACGCGACGTAATGGAGATGGAGCCAAAAACAGGATTGAGGGGAGGAGGATATCGCTCCTTTTCCAGATGCATGGCGCACAACGTTCGCCTTGACACTGAAAAAAGTCCGCCATTGTGTACGCGCGGATCATCGATTTAAAGAAACGAGAAACATTACGCTACTTTACCGCAGCATTTACCGCAATGCATTCGGTTCGGTGGTGTTACGCGTGACAGACACGTTCTTTTGCTTACGAAACGAAGGGAGGAGAATGGAGGAGAATGAAAGGAGGGAGGAAGAATCGGAGGAAAATACTTGGTCGCGAGCAAAATCACTCCCGAAAAGAGTGAAATATTGGCGTCAGAATTTCCACACTTTCTTTTTCTTTTTCGAATGAAAAGATGCCAAGATGACTGTTAATTGACGATACGAGGCTCACCTAGTTAATTTATTTCCAGGAGGGAGAGCGCAAAGGTGTAGTGGTAATTACACGATTGGGGGAAGTGCGAGATAACCGGGGGGAAAAAGTTGGCAAAAAAGAAACGAAAGATAACTAGTCTTGGAGTGTGCTCAAAGGATTATGCAGTAGCGGGTTCTAAACAAAATTCCACGGTGCTCGTATGCAGCTAGGAAATAACGTTTGGTGAGAATCAAATCGGGGATATTTTACACCGCGAAAGCATTACCGTGATAAATACGTTGATGAAATGGAAATTTCTAGTTGGCCGTGAAATTTTGCGCGATTATAATTGCGTAATTTAACGCGGATAAAACTTTAACGGGAAAAATTGTTTAAAATTGTTAAAAATTAGAAATAAGAGGCGAAGGAATGCCATTTCTTTTTTTCCGCGTCTCTTGATATCCATTCAAAAAAATTTGACGATCTCTCACGTACAGTCAATGATAGTTACACTTACCAAGAAAGGGTTCCATTCATTCCAGCGAGGGCTTTCCCCATTAGAAATATTCCACTTGTTCCTTTTGTACGAGATGGTTCCAACGACAGCTGAAAATACAACTTTAACGTCGAACAATCTGCCCACCATTATATACCGTTGAACAACACGTGCACGTACGTGTGCATGTATTATTTGGCAAGAAAGGAACGAAGAGACACGAGAAGAAAGGATGACTGGGAGCGTACTACGAACAAAGGGCACGCGGAACTTGTGTGTGCCGAGTATTTTTCACGTCCAACCGTGTAATAAGAAAATATATACGTCGCTGGAAAAAATGGGCTGCCGCCGATGCGATGTTTGAATACTCGTACAATGCCGAGCAGCAGGCGGAATGCACGAGGAGGAGACGTGGCGCCGCGCCGCGCCGGAAAATGAAAGCCCGATAATTGTACGTACGCCTTGGATCGTGGCACGTCGATGGAGAGCAAACAACGATCCGACCATCGATCGTCCATTCTCGCGACCGGCCAACTTTTAGATAAAGATCAATTCCGTAATATTTTTAAAATCTTTTTACAAATTGAACTTCGTAAATATCCCATGTATAATACATAGGATACATTCTGTATGAAAAATAGTACTATATCAATCGTAAAAATGGCTGGAATTGAGGAGAAATGGATTTCTCTCGCGAAAGAATAAAGTGTCGGTCGAGAATCGATCAAAATCGTGCGCAATAATCAGTAATATTGTGAATGCTGAGGAACGGCGGCAAAGAGACGTGAAATATATTATAAATCGTTGGAACATAACTGGTGGAGAAAATCGTGGCAAAGATAGAGTAAAGGCGGTGGTCGATATGAAGCTATAGTTGCCTCGAATTCTCTCTCTCTCTCT